GTTTTCTTCCTCTGAATTTGTTGATAGTTGGCACCAAAGAGATGAGTTTTTCTCTTCAGTCTTCCTGGAAATAATTCCATTCTTTCACCAAGTGGTACTAGGCTTATACCTCAAAGCCAGCTAAAATATTTAACTGTAATTTAACATTTAAAGGTACTAAGTCAACACTTCTTTAATACTAAAGATGTTCCTTTGCTAAATTATTTAAGTAGAACAATCAGTATGAAAGTTTTCACGCAGGAGGGGGCCCAAACACATGCTACCAGTACTACACAGTGTTTACTGGGTAAACCCATAAGCAGAGACATAGTAGAGTACATGATAGGACCATCTGCATTCAGAGAGGGCGCCTTAGGACTGGACACACCATGGAAAGGGCTCCACCTCTGGATCTCTTAACATACATATGTTCTTCCTTTATTGACTACTAATAATTCAATACACAAATTGGCGAGATAAGTGGAAATTTATTTTTAAAGAGCTTCTGATGGGTTTCTAATGACATTGCTTTTGTTCCGCTGATTATAAGACCTGCTCTCATATATCACGTGCAGTTCAGTAAATGATTAAGAAGGAGATCAAAACTCTTAAGTATCAACATTTTTCTTTTATTCATCTGGTTTTAATTTTTATTCTGGTACTTTGAGACCCATGACATTGTTATTAAAAATAAGCTGTGACTTTGTTATTTTATTAAAAATTGTAATTTGATTTTATTATTTTTTTGCTTAGAAGTGTGAACGCCTACTTTTATTTCTTTACTGCCATGAAATGAGCCTGGCATTTCAAGACCCAGTTCCTCTAACTGTAAGTATTGATGTCATTTTGTGCATTTTTACACAGTGGGATGATTTTTCTGAAACTCGATTTATGAGAATCTAGTTTCTGTACCATTTTTCATTAGTTAGTTTCTTATATCCAATCCAAATCTTTAAGCTTATTAATACATAATGAATGCTTTGATCTTAAATACATTTTAATGTTAACAAATTGGCCCAAAACTTCTTTTCATTTCTTGTACATTTTTACTTCTCATCTCGTGTAGTTTACCTTCTATTTATCAATTGTTTCTCTCTCAGGAAGTTTAGGAATATATCCTAAGCTGTTGGGAAAGAACTTACCATTTGAGATAAAGATCCCCAAAATTCTGTGTACATACTTTGATTTATAGGTCCAGACATCAAGTAATAAGTAGACTTAAACAATAGACGAAGATGTGTATATGTGTTAACCATTGACTTTAAAAAGGTTCATGTTGAAAGTTCGATGTGACTTTAATGCATAATTTTAGAGTGCTGGAAAGGGCTACTATTCAAAATATGTTCTTCTATTCTCTGGTGTCCAAAATACCTTTAAAAATTTAATGGATTTGTTCTACAGTTTGATAAATTTTAAAAATTTAATGCAAGGTCAGAAAAGAAAACTAGCTTAGGAAATATATTCAGCTGATAAACAATCAAGTTCTTTCTTGAGAACAAGTTTTGAGAAGTTGAGTTAGGAAAAGGAAATAAATGTCTTCAGGGGGAAGGGCCTTTTGTATCCAAAAGAGGCAGGGCAAAAAGTCAAAGAAAAGAGGCTTATAATGCCAGTAAAAACTTGATCCACTTAAAAATTTAACCTAGAACTTGGCGCTTTTTATGATCTTGACTTACAGACTACATTTGGTATTAATAACAACAGCAACAGCAAAATAGCCCCCTTTTTCTTAATATATATCATCTCATTTAGTCTTTACAAAATCCTGTCAGGTTGGTAGGATTATCCCTATCTGAAATATGAAAAAACTAAGTTTCAGTGAGGTTAAGTAACTTACCAGAAACACAGTCTCGAGTAGTAGAACCTAGGGTTCAAACCCAGATTTAAGGCCCACTGGCTATAACACATGCAGTGAAAACATGTCAAATCCTGCTAGAAGTAAAACTTTTTCTAATAAATGCTTTTTGTTTAATAAGAAAGGAGAGGGGCCAGCCCTGTGGCTCAGTGGTTAAGTTCAGTGCACTCTGCTTTGGCGGCCCAGGGTTTACAGGTTTGGATCCTGGGCGCAGATCTACACCACTTGTCAGCCATGCTGTGGTGGCAACCCACATACAAAGTCTAGGAAGATCGGCACAGATGTTAGCTCAGGGCTAATCTTCCTCAAGCAAAAACAGAAAAAAAGAGGAGGGCAACAGATGTTAGCTCAGGGTGAATCTTCCTCACAAAAATAAATAAATAAATAAATAATGAAGGAGAAGAGAGAAGGTTTAAGAGGGAAAATATAAGTTTTTTCATTAAAAATAATTGGTGGAAATTCTTGAAAAATGTGACACAACACACTTAGCAATGTTTGGAAGTCTATAGGCGCTTGTAAATGTTGCTGAGTAGTTTTCCTTATCAGTGACAAAATAGTACAGAGAAAAGCAGTGAGAACAATCTGACTTTTATACTACTTGTAGAATGTACTTAGGACCAGGTATAATTTAGTTATTTGTATGATTTGTATTATAATACATTTTGTATTATTTGTGTTTATTTTGAAAGGTGCCTGATTATTACAAAATAATTAAAAATCCAATGGACTTGTCGACCATCAAGAAAAGACTACAAGAAGATTATTGCATGTACACAAAGCCTGAAGATTTTGTAGCTGATTTTAGATTGATCTTTCAAAACTGTGCTGAATTCAATGAGGTGAGAGGGGGGAAAAAGCAACAAAAAAACCAATACAACAGGTAAAAATACCTGTTACATGATTCGGTGATTATGGCGTCTCTTTGATCGCTTTGGTAATCCAGTTCTACCACTACCGCCCCCTTATAGAATAATCCCGATAAGTCAAAACATTTTATTTCTTTTTTTATCTGCCCTTCTCTAGACTTTGTCTAGCTCCAGGCTATTATTTACTTTACATCAATGACTGTGCATAAACATTTTTTCAAAACAATCCACTGATATTCATAATCTTGAGTTAAAAAAGAACAAAAATGAGGGCCAGCCCGTGGCTTAGCAGTTAAGTGCGTGTGCTCCGCTACTGGCGGCCCGGGTTCGGATCCTGGGC